TGCCACTTCTTTATCCATGGGATCTTCCCAACCCAAGGATCGAACCTGAGTATCCAGTGTTGCAGGTGGATTTTTTACTGACTGAGTCACCAGGCAAGCCCTAACGAATCAATAGAGAAGGAATGATAAAGAAGATAGAAGAATCACAGGAGACTGGTGAATGGAAAGCAAGAGAGTGGTCCCAGAATGCAGAGTTCAATGACGACAAATGCTGCAGAGACCTAAGAACTAAAAGGAGCTCATCAAAAGGTAAACTCTGAGAAAGCCTTTACATTGCTGTATCTGCAGGCCAGGAACAGCACCTGATTCAGAAAACACACAGAACAAAGCTTTGTTGACTGGATCGATGAATGAGTCCATCACATGGCCATTGAAGGCCATTGACCACCTTTATCCTAGTGTTTCTGTGGGTGTAGAGACACAAGCCTGGCAGCTATGGATGGAAAGTGAATGAAAGGAAAGGATGAGTGCATTTTGTGGAGGAACTTGGTTAACAAAGGAAGGAAGGAGTTAAAGGGAGAGCTTGCCAGTATCACAGGGTGAAGGAAGACTTGTATTTAGTTAGATCATTTTGTTAAGGATAAAAGAGACTTCTTAAAAAAAAATACTTATTTGGCTGTGCTGGGTCTTAGTTGTAGCACACGGGATCTTCTATCTTCATTGTGGCATGTGAAACCTTTAGTTATGGCATGTGAACTCTTAGTTGCAGCACGTGGGATCTAGTTCTCTGACCAGGAATTGAACGCACACCCCCTGCACTGGGAGAAGTGAGTCATAGCCACTGGACCACCAGAGAAGTCCCTGAAAGAGACTTTTAAGTATGTTTTTATAAGTCTAAGGGAAAGAGCCTTTAGGAAGGAAAAGTTGACCATCATGATGAATTCTGATCTTTTATTCACAACTCCCTGTCTTCTGCAATGTCCTTACTCCCCAAAGTCACAAGAGACTTGAAGAAAGAGAAGTTCCCTTTGACTCAAAACAAACTGGGGTCAAACATTTGGCTGTGCCTGACACCCACAAGGAAGCACTGCTGAGAAATTATGCCCACTCTGACTGCCTCCTCCTGTTCTCCTACCAGACTCTCACTGACCTCCATCCTTCCCAGCCTGGGCCTCTTGTGAGTTCCCACCTGGATTTCAAGCATACCACTGAAGATGCAGACCAATGTCTAGCCTGAATACAGCCCTGGGAACTACTTTCACCCCTTCTGAAACGCCTTCCTCTTTCTTACCCCCATGTTTCCCCTCCCTGTTACCTGGCTAGCTGCTGTGCATGCTCAAGCTCTCGGCATAGGCAACCTTCCCTCCTTGTGCCTCTATGTAACATCGATCATAATAGATGGTGAATTCCCACCCACAACCCTTCCTTCTCCCACCAGGCTAGGAGCTCTGTGAAGGTAGGTACCACATCTTGCTCCCTGGGGATCCCCAGCACCCTAACACAAAGTTGGGCTCACTAATTGTGTGCTTTTATGAATGAATGAATACATAGGCATGTTCCTTACCCCTTTTCATCCTGAATCTCCTCACGGAGGAGGAAGACCCAGGCAAATTAGCAGACTTAGGAGCAGAAATCGAAGAGTCACTTTAGGTTATGTGCACGCTCTCTCTCAAGTCTAACCTCCTCTTGCTGCAGATTTAGCCTTTGAGCAGCCTGCAAACTTGGAGGCAGTAACGACTACATCATAATAACTATCTATTAAACTTCAAAGGGAGAAAAACTTAAAACATGAATGGAGCTAATTGCTGGCTGCCACAAATTGGTTCCTGGGCATTCTAAATGGTTTAATAGTTGGTCTAGATACCATTGCAATAGGTGCCATATATAAATACAAACACAGAGATAACTGACAGGCTATGACCTCGTCAAGTCACAGCTATAGCCTAAAGGGGAGAATTTTACCTGTTCAGTGTGTTTGTCATAATTATCTGTCACAAAGTAGCCAAAAATGACTCTCTTGTTTAACAATTACATTACCTAAAGACTGGAGTCAAGGTGAAAGAAATTAGACAATTACTATTTTGGGCTGGGTGTCAGGATGCCTGGGGGTCACGCCAGGCTCTGGAGCAGCCAGCTGTGTGCCCAGGCCAGTCACCTGTCTCCATTACTCAACACACTTGTAATGATGCTTCGGCTCATGCATTCACTTATTCATTAATTCAATACATATTTATTAAGCACCTACTGTATTCCTGGCACAGGGCTAACTACTGAGAGTACCGAGAGGCAATAAGACTTAAGCTGCCGATCTTATCACAGTCCATTAGGAAGGTGATGCTGAGAAACTGAAGCCCAGGGCATGATGATGCTGTGGAGGTATGTCCTGGGACTGTAGGGGGACAGTGAAGAAGGTAAGTGGACTGCTGGAGAAGATGGGTGAAATCTTGAGACGGGGGAGGTCTTTGAATTGGGTTTTAAATGATTAGCAGGAGTTTGCCAGGTAGAGAAGAACAGAATAATCATTCAAAGTAACAGGATCATGGTATTAAAAACATGAAAAAGAAATGTTTAGGGAACAGTGAGTGTCAGGTGGATGCAGTTAGACTTATAAGGAACTGATGAGGAGGGTCAGTTAATCTTGAAGGCCTGTCTGGGTATTTTCTGGTAGGCTCTAGTGCAGTGGTTCTCAAACTTGAGTGCACACCGGCATTACCTGGAAGGCTAGTTAGCACAGATTGCTGGGCTCTTCCCCTGTTCTGAGGTGGGGCCTGAGAACTGGCATCTCTAATAAGCTCTCAGCTATGGCAGATGACCTGGGAGGGAAGATGGGTTCAGCTGCATCTTATCCTGATAGCATGATGCTACCCAAGTCACGTCACCTCCCTGCGTCCTAGTCTCAGTTTCCTCCTTGGTGGGACTGGGGATGTGGACGCTGCCTGGCAGCCTTTTGTCTGCCAGCTGCATTAAGCAAAAGAATGTGTGTGAGCTCTTGGAATATATCAAGTGCTAGACAGTTGCTCATACTTAGGCCACCTGATGTGAAGAGCCGACTCATTGGAAAAGACCCTAAGCTGGGAAAGACAGAAGGCAGGAAAAGAAGGGGATGACAGAGAACAAGATGGTTGAATGGCATCACTGACTCAGTGGACATGAGTTTGAGTAAGATCCGAGAGATGGTGAAAGACGGGGAAGCTTGGAGTGCTGCAGTCCATGGGACCACAGAGTCAGACACGACTGAGCGACTGAACAACTAGACAGTTGGTGAAAAATATGTTTATGTACACACACAGAGACACATGTGTATCTTTTAGTACTTCTTTTAGCTACCGAAAGCTCCCTAAATCCCTTAACGAATCCAAGAGATCTGTCAAACCTGTTGTATGGTTACTCTGCGTGTGTGGGTGTGTGCATGTATGTGTGTACATGTGTGTGCATGTGAAGGAGAGAGAGAGACCTCAAGACACAGGAGTGAGATAGAGTAGAATAGATAGAGTGGGAAAAGGAGGCCAATGTTAATTCCATTTTTATCTTTGAGTTCTGGTCTAGTTTCTGATAATATCTTAGAAGATCTATAAATTGAAACAGATCTGGATTTAGGAATCTTCAGCTAGGAATTTCTCCCTCCTGTCAAATAAAAATCTTTCCTGGGACACTTAGGGACTTCCTGGGTTCTCTGAACTTTTAGCACTGTTCTCCATAAGCCCAGAAATAGGCAGTATTGATAAGGCTCAGACTGGATGCACCCACACTTTTAACAAATGAGTGTCTAGCTAGTTGGAGGCAACCTTTGCTTACCCTTGGTGTAATTCTCCACCTCTAAGGTATTGGGGCTTCCCAGGTGGCACTAGAGGTAAAGAACCCACCTCCCAATGCAGGAAATGCAGGAGACATGGGTTCAATCCCTGGGTCAAGAAGATCTCCTAGAGTGGGGCATGGCAACCCACTCCCGCATTCTTGCCTGGAGAATCCCATGGAGAGAGGAACCTGATAGCTACAGTCCACAGGGTCTCAAAGAGTCAAACACGACTGAAGCAACTTGGCATAGCATACTAGGGTATTGACTGGGCAGGTTGAAAGAGCTCCTTTAACTAAACATGACTGAAGTTTTCCTTTCATCAGGAAGGGCATAGAGGCTGTAATATGTTATTCTGGAGTGCGTTGGCAGGTACACCCCGGAATGGCAGGCTATCAGCTTACACACAAGGGAACAATTACCCGGGTGGCATGGTTAATCACAGGCACTTCACCATGGAAAAAGAAAAATAATACCCTTCCCATCTCATCCCACGGAAAAGAAAGGAGACATCTACCAATTTGTAAGAGGATAATTTCCTAATTATCCCATGAAGGTTGTTATTTCTGTTAAGTCCTTAAATCAGGTTGAGGAGGGTGAAATCTGATCCTTCCTTTAGTGATGAAAAATGTTATTGCAGGATTTGGTTTTCACACAGTGTCTCCCACAGCTGAAGGAAGAATTTACTAATCTCAACCAGGGCAGCCGTGGAGGCAGCTGCTGTGGGCAGAGGAAGGTCCACAGTGGAGAAGGGGAGCTGGGGCACTTCAGGTTGGTCCAACATGATTGTTTAATTACTTGGAAAACCTTTCTCCTGAGTGTGAGGAGGCCTCTGCAGAATACATGACTCATAGCATATTAACTTCTGAATGTTTTAGAAATGAAGCTTGCCTCAGTTTTCAGATACCATTAAGTCCCCCTCAAGGCATTTTATGAAAAAAAGGAGGGGTGTTTTGGCGGTGATTATCAAACCAGAACCAATCCCCAGCCACACACAGGGCACGCCCAGAATGTTGTCTACTCTTCAGGGAAAGGAACTAACATTTCTGGAGCACCCATTGCATGTTCCAGAATTTTTTTTCTCCCACCCTTTGCTTCCAGAATGGGGAGTTCACCGGGCCACTGCTCCACTGGCAGAGCTCGGCTCCTCTGCGTTTCCCTCTGTCCCTCTCTGCCAGCGGAAGGCCAACAGGCAGGAGACAGGGAAACAGAAAGGTCAAGGGAAGAACGTGGAAGAATGGGAGTGGGAAAGAAAACTTGGCATCACCTGGATGTGGAGAAGGGCTGGCCTTGAGGGAGCGCCAGGGCTGGTGCCAGGAAGAATCGCCAAGCGGGTGAAATGTGGCTTTGTACTCACTCTCTCTGGTTCTAGAATGCCCTCCCTCCACCCCTGACATCCAGGCATTATTAGCTCAGCAACTATTTATTAAGAGCCTCCTAAGTTTTAGGTACCGTAACGGGCACTGGGGATATGGCAGTGAACAATCAAACACCAAGCCCCCCTCAAACAGCCTACATCCTAGAGGTTTCCATGAGGTGGTTTCAGGTAGTCTTGGGCTTCAGGAAGTCCCTATTAGGGCACCTCCTTACTGTCCCTGTTTACACGCACACGCCCTGCTCCCTGCCTCGCACGCAGCCCTCTCTTGTGATCACGTGCGCACAGGTCTACGCACACGCACGGATGCACGCGCACACGCACGGATACACGCGCACACACCCGCGTACGCACCCACCCTGTGGGGCCAAGGGCGCGGCGCGGAGGTGCGGGCAGTAGACGCGCGCGTGCGCCCAGGGGCCGCTTATCCCGAGGCAGCCTCTGCGGGTCCCCTGCACCGTGCGGGCGGGGCCAGAAGGAGGCCGGCGCGGACCGGAGCCCGGGGAACGACATTCCCGACCGGCCGTTCCCCTCCGCTCTCACAGTCGGGCTCCACGCTTCGGGCAGGTGGGCAGCGCCCCCAGGGTCCCGGGGTCCCGCTCCCGCTCCCTTTTCAGCGATTCCCTCTGGGTGCCCAGGTGGGAGGAGAGGACAGGCGGGCGCCCGAGCCGCGGGTTTGCGCAAGATGCGAGGGGAAAACAGTTATCAAGCGCTTTGGGAACAGCCTCGGCCCTGGATCCGCGGCAGAAACTTGGACTCCGGGCCCTGAAACCAGGACGAGGACACTGTCAGGAGGTGCGGGCCTGGCCCTCGCGGCTGATCCATTAGCTGCTGCTTCCTTCAGGGGCGTCTGAGTCGGTGGTTAATTTCCCACTGGGTCAGTCCCCGCGGCGTCTGCTCACAAACACGCTGGTTTCTTCCTGGGGCTCCTCTCTGAGCTACGGATCTGACTCCTTACCTGGCCACCTTTGTTTCCTCGGGCCAGTCGGCACTTGTGAGAATTTCTCCTCAGGCCACTCCTACCTCCCCATCCTCTTGAGGAGAGGGAAAAGAGTGGCAGGGCAGGAGGAGGGACCCCGCCTCCCTGGCTGGGACCCCTGGCTTGGTTCAGAAGCAGTCAAGTTGTAGGGTATCCCATCCTGTTCCTACGTGGTCAGGGGGAGCCCTGCTTCCCGGGGGAATGGGCCCCATATAGTCTCCTCCTGCAGCCCCTGTGGATCAAGGTCAACAGCAGGTGATTCATACAGAGCCTGGTTCTCCCTCCTTGCAGGGAGAAGAGAACTTGGTGAACCTGAGTTGGAGTCACCTACCAGGGAGTTTGGGGGAGAATTGCCGTCATTACCTGCCTATTAGCCCTTGCCCCTGGAATCAGCACCTTTTACAGGGACAGTTAGACATGTATCATCATCCCCATTTCACAGGAGAAGAGAGCGACACTTGGGTGGTTAAGTGCCTTGTTGAAGTTCACTAATATGGGAGGCAAACTAGAACAAACTAGACGACCTTCAGCTAGTTTTATTACTGATCAGAATTCATTTTCCTGGTTCTTTAAAGCAATGCTAGTTTTGGCAGTTAGGATGCACTCCTGCTCCAGACATGCCCAGTTCACCTCTGCCCTAGAGTAAGTCCTTCTTCCTCCTAGACCTCTCTCACAGTTTCCCCAGCTTGCAGTGCCACTCTCCCTTCCACCAGTGCAACTCCTACACAGCCGTCAGGGCCCAGCTAAGAAACCCTTTCCTGTGCCAGCCTTTCCACTCCCTCTAGCTCTCACCCATCTCCCTTTACTCCATGTGCCAGTGTATACAGCCCGGGCCATTAAATCTAACCTTCATTATTTCATTGCCTTTTCTGATTCTCTCATTCTGTCATTTTCATCTGTCTTATTCCATCAGTTGGGTGGTCTCCCTAAGGGCAGGGACTGTGGCCTAGGCACTTGCTTTACATACCCCATGGTTTCCAGCAGGGTCCTGGGCAACAAGTTGCACCCAGTGTCTCCTGCATGCAAGCTAAGTTGCTTCAGTTGTGTCCTACTCTTTGTGACCCCGTGGACTGTAGCCTGGCAGTCTCCTCTGTCCATGTGATTCCCCAGGCAAGAATACTGGAGTGGGTTGCCATGTCCTCCTCCAGGGGATCTTTCTAACCCAGGGATCAAACCCCTGACTCCTGCATTGCAGGCAGATTCTTTGCCACTGTGGCACCAGGGAAGCCCACGCCCTGTGTCTCTTGTTTGGCTGATTGACCAGATACACTGTAAAGCTGGTCAAAGGTGGGCACAGGAGCTTCTGTTGCGAGCCTTTGAGGGGTGGTATTACTGGGCTTCCAGCCATTAATCAGCTATCTGCAACTCCCCCTCACTGAGTGGCTTGCCCGCCTGGTTCCTCCCGCCCATCAGGAAAGATTGCACCTGGATTACCTGAGAGGGAGAGACAGAGCTTAATTGTATTCTCTGTTCACATCAGGATATCCAAGGACTGCTTAGACCAGATGCTTCTTTAACAATGCCCTTGGTATGCAGTGATCGAGGATACGTCAATGAAATACAAACAGTCTAGATTCATGACATGAAAGATCTGATCTAAATTGAAACAGGGGGCTTCCCTGATAACTCAGTTGGTAAAGAATCCGCTTGCAATCTAGAAGACCCCAGTGTGATTGCTGGGTTGGGAAGATCCCCTACAGAAGAGAAAGGCTACCCACTCCAGTATTCTGGCCTGGAGAATTCCATGAACTGTATAGTCCATGGGGTCGAAAAGAGTTGGATATGACTGAGTGACTTTCACTTTCAGTTTCAAATTAGAACAAATAAACAAACACCAGAAGGTGAATGTTTCTTTGAAGGAGGAATTCTGTGTTTAATGTCAAGGTGGGGGTTTGAGATTGTTCAAGTGCATGTCTGAGGCCAGGTCTCTTCCCCTGCTACCCTCTGTGCATGTATTATTCTTGTAGTTGATATCATATTTTCACATCTATCATCTTGTTTATTCCTCACAAAACTCTGAGAGGGAATAATAGTAATCACAATGTTTATAAAATGTCTATAATTACTGAACAACTACTGTGTGCTGGGTACCATTCTAAGGACTTTATGTGGGTTAAGTCATTTTTTCCTTCCCATTTTACAGATGTAGAAACTGAGGCACTGAGACTGCCAGCAGCATGCAGTGGTGGGAATGTTCCCAAGGCAGAAGTGAATCAAGATTCTTTGATGATGAGAGCTCCATTGAAAGAAAAAAGAGGCACTTAAGTGAGGAGACTGACATTAAACACCTACTCTGCCAGGTAAGGCTGCTCAGAGCTTTGTGGGCACTTTCTCACCAGATCTTCACAGTTACACATCAGGTTATTGTGTCTGCGCTGTGACCTGCCCCCACATTTGAAGAAACACGGCCTCATGAGGTCAGCTGGCTTGCCGCAGGCACCTGGCTAGTGTGTGGCTGATCCAGGACCTGACGCCAGGTCTGCGGACTCATGCCCATGTTCTCTGTGCCCCATGTCAAGTGCTTGGATGGCTTGGCCTTCTCTGGCTCTTTGTTTCTCAAGAAGAGGGGTGGGGGACAACGTTTATTTCACTGGCTGGGCGGTGAGATCGTTATCACCCTTACAAAGCAAGTATTAACTCTCTAATTGTACATGGCACTGAGCAGAGCAATGAACTATTTTGTACACAAAAATAATTAAGTAAAGCCCACAGGGAGGAATTCTGCCCTCTGGGAACAAAGAATCCCCAGTGAGTGAGGGTGTCAGGGTAGCCCGAAGAGCCAGCGTCCTAGCACACATTCTCCTTGGCAAAAGTGTGTCCTGGCTGACAAAAAGAAGTGGCAGAGGGGTGGGTGGCTTCCAAACCCATCACCGCTTCTGGGAAGTACCTCTGAGTGGTCAAGACTTTGGAAGCAGATAAAGGTGGGTTTGAAGCCTTCTTAGTAGCTGTGTAAGCTTGGACCAGTTCTGTGCCCTCTTCAAGCTTCATTTCCCATCTATGGAAGTGGACTGAACAGGTATGCTTCTGTCAAATGAGATGATATACATAATGCACTTAGCACAGTGCCCCACACAGAGTAAGCATGTAATCATCAATAGCTCTTGTTTCAGCTGTTGGGTAGGTGTCTTGTTCCCAGAGTGGATTTTAAGGGTGAAGGGAAGATTCGTTTTCCCAGTGGAATGGGGGACTTTGGACAGCACAGCAGAGGCGCCCCTTCAGTGGTCCAGGGCTCGTGGCTGTCACAGGCGGCTTGGCCTTTTGTTTCCCCCTCACTCCTTCTCCTGAGACAGCGGGGAGAAGGCGGTGGGGCTGGCCTTTCTGGGGCAGCCTCTCAAGACTCCTATTCAATGGTGGGTCTTTAGCTCTTCATTCGGGAGAGCCATGAAGCTTTCTAGGGGACAGGAAGTACACCTGGTGAGCGGTACACAGTAGGAATTCAGTAAGTGCTGACTGCCTGGGGTTTCTGGGGTCCAGTCTCCCCAGACTCACAGAGGGGTCTGCGGCCCAGGCAGTACTTGCTAAGGAGTAAAGGACAGAGGGTAAAGCGCATCTGCATGCGAGGGGCCGCCATGCCATGCCAGATGGGCCACTCTGCCTGCAGCCTGCGCGAGTCTCCGGAATGCACGCCCTTTGCTCACCCGGAGCTGGGCCAAGAGCGACCCAGGGTGCACCGTTGCAGAAAATCCCTTTTGTTTCTACCTGCCAGAGCCCCCCGCCCAGCACTGGCTTCCTGCTTAATGGCCCGTTCGGGGTGGGGAGGCGGGGGAAATGTGCAGAACTTGGGGAGAAAGAGATTAAACTCACAATAAAACCAAACCCAAACATCACCGCCTTCCCTCTCGTCCTCTGCAGCTCTGACCCTGAGCTGTCTCTCAGCCAGTTTCCCTCCCAGGCAAATAATATTTATTCCAGGAGGCCCTGACACGCGGGCCAGAACAAGACAATGCTTGATTGTTCTTCTTCTCCCCTGCGGCAGGCGATGCGCTGGAGGAGAGAGCGCAGAAAGGCAAAGGAGCTGCCCCCGCCGCTCCCAGTGGGACCGGCTCTGGGAGTTGTCAAAACAGGCCACGATCAGGGCTGGGGAGGGGTGCCGACCAGATTAGTGCGGCTGCTCTCGAAGTTTCACTCTTTTACCCCAGTTCCTGGCAGCTGTGGCCACTTAAACAGCTTTGGCTTCCATTAAACAGGAGAGTCATTAAGTCATGGAGCTTACTGAAGCTCTAAAGGGCCCAGTAGTCATCCCTCGGTGAAAAGTGCCAATTCATTGCTTGGGAGATAACAAACCTGGAGACTGTGACTAAGTCAGAGGTGAGCAGCTCCAGGCCCGGATTGACGGCTCACCCCAGCGTGACCCCGCAATGAGAACCAGCCTCGTGTGCTGGTGGGAAGAGGTGGGTGACCACTTGGAGGGAGTTGGACTGCTGGTTTCCCCAGCTGCTCAGCTGTTGTTTGGGCTAGAAAAATCCAGAAATTTCTCCCGTGGTTACTAATTTTTATTAATCAGGGCTGACACAGAGTGTGTTGTCCTAAAGTGTATCCCCCACCTGAATCAGGCCACCACCATCAGGGGCTGGACCAGAGAGTTAGTCTGCTTCCCCCACGCTCCTAACCCTTGACATTAGGGATTTTGCCTCATCTGCTGCGCCTTTGAACAGTCCCTGGCATGGCTCTGGTAGAACATGTACAGGAAGGAGGGAGGACAAGTGAGAAGCCCAGGGCCACCTCTTTTACCTCCTTTGGGCTGGAGGCCACTTGTCACTGGAGGTGACAAGTGACTTGTCATTGACTGGAGGTGACCATGCACAGGAGCTGCAGTGGAGTCCTTCCCAGCATATTCAACCTTTCCTTTATTCTGATTCACTGAATTCTCATACTTAGGCAAGGGGGGCAGGGAGAGGTATTACTGTCCCCATTTTGCAGATAAAGAAACTGAGGTTCAGGAAAGTAAGTGACATTTAAGCAAGTGAACCCAGGACAATCGGATTCCTGATCTAGCACTCCGTGGTCTCTCATGCTTATATGCAGCACCAGTGACCATTGGGCTACAGGACTTGGCTCCTTACCTGATCTTCGTCCTGCTCTTGGGAGCCGTCCAGACTGGGCCAGACTGCCCTCTTACTCAGAGGCCAGATATTGAACAGGAATCAGAAGAGGAAAATGGCCCAAGAGCCTGTCTTCTGGCCCATCTCCCCAAGGTTTGAAAGCCGTCAGAAGGATGGAGAGGTTTGGTTCTGAGGCCACTCTCAACAAGGGAGAGTTTTCCTTCCTTTAGCCATCTCATTCGCGTTTTCACTCTCTGCTTTCTCGGGGCTGGATGGGAGGAAGGGTCACACCTGCATAGAACCATGAGCACGCAGACTGTGGGAATTGGCAGGGACAATTGCCCAGGGGGGACATTTAAAGGACACATGACGGCTCCCAGGACTACCTGGCTCCCTGTGACTCCATGGGTGGGAAGGACATTCAGCCTTGCTCCTGCCCTGGGATGGCCAGCCTTCTGGAAACACCTCTCCTTATAGGAACAGGGCCTAGGGAGGCTAGTCCCTGGCTGGGAAAGCTGGCTGAGTGACAGTCTGGCTTAACCCATGTGGGATTAGTCAGCCTGTAAAAGTCCTGTTTATTTGTTAAGGGAGAGGCAGATCCATAACCCATCTGTTGACACCTGGACGGCACAGCGGAGGGAGCTGCACCTCTCTGCCCAGCCCCGCAGCCCCACTGTGGTTTTCCTGCCAAGCTGCAGTGGTTGCTGGGAAGAACACCTGGTGGGTGAGTGATGGGAGAGCTTCCCGCTGGCAGCAGCCACCTCTGCCGAGCCATGCTCATCACTGGGTGCCATGGAGGGCCCAGGCAGGAAGCCTGAGAACACTGTTCCCAACCCATCTGCCGTAGAGCCCTGCCCCAGAGTGAGCCTGACCACGTCGGTGAGACCCAGTTCACCATCTCCCAGGGGCGGGCTCTCCCAAGAACCTCTTTGCAATCTCCCAGCCTTTCTTCCTATGGCTATGTTAATCTTGGCTCCAAGACCAAATGAGTGGAAGATTCAGGGGGTTTTGAGTCTTAGATTGCAGGTCTGAGCAGGGCATGCCACCCTTTCACTCCAGGCTCCTCCACGCCACTTCCGTTCTAATGTCAGGAAAGCAGAGGAGAGAAGCTGGCTGCTGTTGACCTTGTTTCATGGTGTCATCAGAGGTCAGGTCATTATTGAAAAAGAACAGGGTCAACACTTATGATACACGGGCTCCTGTCCTCGCTCTGACCTGAGCCAGCTGTGTGACCTTGAGCAGAGTTAGTCTTTCCGCATCTCCATTTCCTCAACCAGGAAATAAAAAAAGAAATTGGATTCATGTCTCCCAGGGGCCCTTCCAACTCCAACATTTTAGACTGTACAGCTGCTAACCTCAGGACTGATGTCGTTCATTTATAAAGAAAATGTCATCGACATCCCCTCTGCCCGCCCCCCAACAAGAAGGATGTGTTCTGAGTTGTTCTCCCTGTTGTGATGGTGGGTCTGAAGTGCTCCACACCCACCTGCCCATCCCCATTGTCTGCCTCGGTTCCCATGCAGGAGGGCTGACCCCCTTGCCTCTGCTGTCCTCTGAGTCTCTAGGAGGATGCTTTCCAGTAACCACTCGAGGCTGGTAGGTCTGGGCCTTGGTTCCCACCTCAGGAAATGACTTGCTGGTTGACTGCAGGCAAGACTTGGCTTCTCTGAGCTGTATCTGCCAAATGGGACAAAAAACTCTCTCTGGGAAAGTGCTGTGGGATGAGCACGGAGGCTGAGGATCCAAATCCCAGGCCCCTTGGGAGGCAGTGGACCTCTACTAATGGACCGCATACTCAGCGGGGCTTAGTGTCCCAGTGTGTCTGGAACCTTGGCCTCCTGGCACGTGCTGGGTGTCTTGCCCACATGCATTGTGAACAGGGATCCATATGCCCTCTTTTTGGATTAGTTCTGCATCTGGTTCTGAAACATCTTGCTGGGACTGTGAATGGCTTCGCAGTGCATTTCAGTGAGCTCTTTTCAGCTTCACTCATCAGGCCTTGGGGAGCTCTGCTTCCTTCCAACTGACTCAGTGTAGTTGCTGAGCTGATGCTGTTGAGTCACTCGGGCAAGGCCCGTTACTTGCCAGACATGTCTCACTTAGACCCATCTTTCCAGGGTAATGAACTCACAGGATTAAACTGAGAGCTCCTTCCTTCTCCTCTACCTTCACCTCCTAGCTTTCCATCAGCCACCACCCCCAGCTTCTGGTCCTCAGGTGGGACCTCTTGAGCCAGGGAGCAATTAGCCAACTCAGAC